AATTGGGTGTCGTGTCGCGGCCTGACCGGTGATCAGCTGTCCATCCCAAGGTGCCACTAAGGTCGGGTGGGAAGGCGGAAGTCATCACATCCGATCATCTGAAGGCGCGGGTACTGGCCAAGGCTGGGAACAGAGCAGGCAATACCGCACGATGGGACCAGTGAGGGTGGAGAGCGGCTGAGAGGTCGGTAGCCAACACAACAACAACGAGATGCAAAACACACAGATCGCTTTTGACACCCCGCGGAGTCTGCAGGAACTACTGTGGGACTCGGCTTTTGAACAATGTTAGTACGGAAATAGTTTCTCTAATTGCATTTCGTGGTTCTATAGTGTAGTGGTTAGCACTCTGGACTTTGAATCCAGCGACTTGACTTTTGAACAAGAGAAACAATTTCTTGTCGGCTACTCCTCTGATTCAGTCAGAATAACACCGCTCGGGATAGCATTCCCTGCTGGGAGAACCGAGCATTCGCATACATTCCGCAAGGTGACGATGAGACTCGTGTAGGCCCCGCAGTGTGATTGTGGGTGGTTTAAGCAATTTCCTCAGCCCCATAAGGAAGTCGTGATTGATGGTGATTCCGTCGTGTGCGTCGTCGCACAATGTATGTGCCGTTGTGAAAATAACTGGATGAAACTCAAATCGACAAGCGAACGTAGAAACTGCGATGGGAGTAGATTACGTGCTTGTTAGTAACGACGGACATTCTAAACTACATTTAATAGCTTCTACCAAATAAACACCACCTAAAAAGATTCAATGAATACCCACAAATCCATACCGTATTTCCACTACCTCTTAGCCGGCTCGCCAGTGAAGAAGCACTTGGTTCCCTCAGGCATCGGGAACTGATATCCAGAACTTTCCAGAGGGATGCACAGCGATTTCATTGCACCCGACAATGCAGGAGCGCCACCTGTCATGGTCACCACAAGTGTCACCATCCTCACCAGATCAAGTGTACCCACCCTCCTCATCAGTAACCACTATTTGCTCCTTGCTTTCTTCAGCTGTGATCTTCTTCATCTGTTCTTCGCTCTCTTCAGTCTCACACCACGGTGCCAATATGAGTTTGCGCGCGTTGAGGGCGGGCATAACCTCATCCCACTTAGTCACCTTCACGATACCATCCTCAAGCTTAGCCCTCGCCGTCTCGAGTAACTCCGATTGGATGCTCTCAAGAGCTTCCTTCACCTAAACCACGAGCACTTCACATTTTTCGAGCGAGTTCAGGAGAAACTTAAGAAGTGCTGCCCTCAGGAGAAGACTGTGAGAGGACTTGACATACCCATTAGAAACCCGCAGAGGCCAGGTCCTGGCCGCCAGGAGTAAAAGACAGGACGCACTCGACATTGCCATTATCAAACCATATACCGTCAAAAACGTAGAAATGTCGTCTTCATGTCGTCAACTTTCATTATTGATGACGTTCACACACATCACACAGAGCTCTCAACAATGCGGTTATAAAATATCAACTTCACACCAAATATCTATAAAATTCCGAAACAGAACTAATTTCCCCTGAGATATCGTCAGTGTGATCACAAGAAAAATCCAAGCTTTCACTCTCAACAACTAGCCTACGATAGAGGAAGCATTTCCAGTAATACCAATAACCTATATCTCACCTTCACAGAGCTATGCTCAGCTTCCTGCGACTTCTTCCCAGTATTCCTCCGTACGAAGGTCACCACACCTTTTTCAAGATCCTTAGCGCCGACTTCAATACGGAGGGGCACACCCTTGAGCTCCTAAGGGAGGGAGCAGATGAATCAAGCTGATACAAACAACACTAAGCATAACGACGACACCCATCCTGGTTTACAATCAAAAAATATATATAATGATCGTAACCCAGGATAGGTGGTATATATATACTACTGGAAACTGTGTTCTCTAATACGGGTAAATGACCGCCTGTTAGAAACGCGTAAGCAACGATAAGATGAAGAAGAATGTGAAAATAATAATATCCTACCCAATGGTTGAACTTGTAGCCTGGCGTCTTATCATCACGGTCATCCAAAACAACGCGGACACCATTAGCGTTGAGGTCCTCATAAAGACTCTGAAGAGCAGCCATAACCAACATTCCCTTCCACATCCCCCCACCTTGCATTTCTCTCCAATCATCGTCTTCAACTCAGCAGTACTCCACTGCGCTCCAGCTCCCTTAGGGGGGATCGGCACAATCACCACTTGGACTTCAGCAACTCTGAAAAGGACATTTAACCCGATAACAAACAACAACTGATCTACCCTTACCTAGGGGGCAAGACTAGACCCTTATCATCACCATGCTCCATAATCATCACACCGATGGAGCGCGTCGTGAACCCCCACGAGGTCTGCTCCGCAAATTTCTTCTCGCCATTTCTGATACAAAAACCGTCGAAACGACGACCATCACCAACCCCATAGCACCAACCTATCCTCAAACTCTATGCCAAACATCTTCGCAAAATGCGTGCCCAAAAAATGTGAAGTCGCCCCCTGCACAGCCCGACCATTACAAGCCACGAACGCCTCACACGTAGTAGTAGCCTCACCACCTAATATGAAAATTCCTAGCGGAGCGAAGCACAACAACTTTACCAGCGAATTTCTCCATCTCCGACTTCACACCTTGCACTACCGGGACAGCCAGGAGGTCTTCATAGAGCATCTTATACACATCCAATATATCATATACCATTTCCACAGCCTACCAAACAC